AAACCTCTGGGATGAGGAAGTAATTCTCAGAGGGGTGTAGCCCTCCACTGCATTCATCCGAAAGCAGGAAAGATTAAAAAAAAATAAGTGAGCCAAACTTTCCACTTTTGGAACCAGAAAAAGAACAACAAAATAAATCCAAAGAAAACAGCAGGAAAGAAAATAAAAGCAGAAATTACTGAAACAGAAAACAAACAAAAATAGAACAAAATTAAGGGCCCGATTTTTGAAAAGATGAATAGCATAGACCGTCCTTCGGCAGAAAGCATCAAGAAAAAAAGGAAGACAAATAAACAACATGGGAATCAAAGAGACGGCACAACCAAGAGATTAAAAAGATGACTAGGAACAACTTAATACCCCAAATTTGAAAACCTGGATGAAATGGATGCTTTTCTAGGAAAACATTTATTAGCAAAATTGGCCCAGAAAGAAAGAAAAATGTGAGTAGATCAATAACCAAAAAGGAAGATGAAATATTAAAGACCTACCTCCCCAAAGGCATGTGGATTTGTATTATATGTATAAAAAAACAAAACAAAGACCGCTACGCTTGACAACTATTAACTGCAAACGCAGGAGAATATCTGCATGACCTTGGAGTAGGGACAGGCCGGCTAAATGGGAGAAAACAGAAAACTCAGAGAGGACAATGTTAATAAATTTGACCATATTGGAATATAAAACACTTATGCTACAAGATACTTTTAGAGAGTTAAAAGACCAGTAGCACGTCTGTGTGCTCCATTTATGTACGTTAGAGGCAAAATGTGAGTATCTAGAATATGTAGCAGACTCCTACACTCCAGTAAGAAACCACAACACAGTAGAAATGGACCAAGGGCTTAACGGGATTGTCACAGAAGCGGCACATGTCCAGATGGCTGACCAACACTAAAAGCCGTGCAACGTGAAGTTAAAACAGCAGTGAAACCCGATATCCACCCATCAGCTGAGCAAAAACATCTTAAAGTTCGATAATACCGTGTTTGAGGGGTCATGGGGCAATGAAGATGCAGCCCGCGCCGGGGAGAACGTCCGCGGCAGAGCTTTGGTAGCGTCTGTTAAAACCGAAAATGTGCACATTCTACTGTTATGAACAATATGATAGGGTTCTTTCATACATGCATGTATTAAAGAACATGTATGTTTTAAACACGTATGACTGTATGGAAAAGTATTTTAAAACATCTGGAAGGATAAAGGCCAAACTGATAACACTGGTGGAATATTGAGGGATCTCGGGGGCGGGGGGACTAAATAATCCAAGGGAGGTGGATAAAAGGGAACATTAATTTTATCTGCAATGCTTTACATTGTTAAAAGGAGAAAATGAATGGAATGTGTCAACAGATAAAATTACAACGAATTTAGTTATCGGCCTAATTGGCTTTCATTTGTGATCCGTAAATCAGGGCAGCCTCCATCCTGCCACGTGGAGCGAGAGCTCCCGCTGGGCCAGGGCAGTGGCGTTTGCAAAGTGGCAGCCAGGAAAGGAACAGCAAGGAAGCTGACTGGGGAACAGCAGGTGACTTTTGTTTTTTTTTGATAAGGCTTAGAGCAGAGGGGACTTCCTTATGACGCTGACTTAGGTAGACTGGAATCTCCTGTCTTCAGGAAAAACTTGTCAGTTTGGGGTCCACCTGCTTCCTTGACGTTTCAGTCGATTGTGTGGCATTTCGCATGGGAGACTCCACCACGGTCTGGTCTGGTCTGTTGAGCCCAGCGCAGGAGCACACTCCGCAACAGTGGCCTGCCGTCACTTTCGTTCAACAGATATTTGTGTGATTACAGCAATAATATTGGGGAAACGCCAGGGCGTGCACCCCGGGTGATGCCGTGTCGTTGTGGAGCGAACTCGAAGCAGACGGAGCCCACAGCCTGGCGGTGTGCAGGGTGTTCCCGCAGGGGCCTCGCGCCTCCTGCAGCAGGTTAGGGTGCGTCGGGGCTGGAGCCAGGAGCAGCCACCGCACTCTGTAGGGTTCAGCCTTGACTGAGCACGGAGGACAACTCCATACGGGGAACAACAGTTGCAAAGTTTTTAATGTGCTTTTTGTCTTTGCCCCAGCTGGTCTGAGGCATCTGTCTGAACGAAGGGAAAGCCGGGTTGATTGCAGAAGGAACGCAACAAGAAAGAACAAGGTAATAAGATTTTGCCAAACAAAAAAAAAAAATAACAGCCTTGGAAGGCAGGCTGCTGTTTTGAGAAGCTTTTCTAAATTTCAGTATTTAAGTCCACTCATCTTAGTTACATTCAGCTACTGTAATAAATACCAAGACAGACAGACGTTTACTTCTCTCACGTGAGTCCAGACATAAGCAGTCCCAGCGACACCGTGGTCTCTGTTGTTGGGTACTGAGGGCCCTTCTGCATCGCTGCTCTGCACCCTCCTCCAGTGGCTCCCACCTCACGGTCTCAGACGGCTGCCGCAGTGCCCACCATCGCACCCTCATTCCCACCTGGCAGCCAGCCGGAAGCGAGGAAGGAAAGTGGAGGGCATGCCCGTTTGCCTTGTAGGCACAACAGAATTGCACACATCCCTTTGTTTCTTGTCTGGAAAACCAGAATTTGCTCTTGTGGTTCCTCTCGACTATTAATATAAGGGCTGCTGGGGAATATTGTCCTTATCTGGGTGGCCATGCAGTCAGCTAAAAGGTGGGGCTTCCATTCCTAGAGGGCAAGGGGAGGGAGGGGCAGTGGGGACAGTTAGCAGTCCCTGCTGCACTCTTCAGCCCATCAGCAGCCAAGCCCGGGCAGCAGGTGATGCCCCCTCACCTGGTTCTCACTTCTGGCCCCCAGGACACTGCAGGAGGCCTTGGGAGAGAGGGCGGAGGAAGACACAGCAGGCCGCGCAGGTGCAGCTCTCCCGCTCTGCGCACGGCTGAGGGGAAGGTGCAGGGGCCAGTGCTAGTCACACGAGACCACCTGCGACACTGAGCTGGTGGCACTGTATTGTCAGGAAAAGGAGGTTCCGAGGCTCAGCTGTCCTGAATCAACCTGGCTTCCTGTACTGCTGTGGGCAGAGCCCAGGACAGCCGAGAGCCCGCCCAGAGGCGTCAGAGGGACCCCGTCACAGAGCAAGGAGGCAAGGCCGTAGCGCAGATTCTCAGGTGGAGCTGTGGGAGTTAGCAACTAAATATACAGGATCCTGGTTCAACTGGAATCTTAGGTAAACATGGAATAACTTTTTAGTGCAAGCTTGTCCTATTCGTTGTTTATCTGGAATTAAAATTTAACTGAGCGTTCTGTATTTTATCTGGAAGCCATGCAAGGTTAGGAGTCTGGGCCCCTGGTGGGAGCCAATGTAAGCTCAGGGCAGACACGGGCACACTCAGGCTTGGGCTGCCCCTGGAGATACCAGGAGCCACACAGGCCAACAGAGACCACAGGGTCCGGCTCCTCTCTGTCCCCGGGCATGTGCAGGGCGACCTTCACCTTCCTGTTCCTCTAGACCAGATGTCAGCTCCTCAGAAAGGAGCAGAGCAGAAGGGAGGCCTGGGCGTATTATTTCCCAGAGACTGAGCATTACCCAAGGGCCGTTCAAAGTCTCCCTCATTACTGCGATTCAACCTGGCTAGGATGGAAAGTTTATTTATTTTTACTGTTAAGCCACAGGTGAGGGCTTGGGAATACCTGGTTAGGTGCAGATCAAGTCAAAACAGTCCATTTCCTGGGCTCACCCGAACACAGTGGGAGTGAGCCGGACAACCCAGCGACCCTCTTGCCCCGCAAACCTCCCAGGGCCGAAGCCCCACAAAGAGCCAGAGAGAAGGGCTCTGCCACCTCTGTCCTCCCTGTTGACCCATCCTTCCTGCCTGACCGGTCAGCCCGCAACATGGCCAGGGCCCATACTTAACAACCTTAGTCACATTCCCCATCCTCGGCGTTTATGGACGCGTGGGGCCTCGTACAGTTCAAAGAATGCAACGACAATACATGGGCCTGGTCAACGTGGCTTGGGCAGCAGCTGCCTCCCAGCACCGGAAGCTCCCAGCTGGTGAGGCCTAGGCAGAGGACTGTGGCCCTGTGGTCCCAGCCTTTAGGCCCAGCTTCTAGGCCGTTCTCCCTGCTCAGGCCTCCACTCTGTCATGCTTACCGTGAACTCTTTCTGTGCCCAAGAGGCAATGCATCTTGCAGATGTGCCGCGTGGGCCCTGTGGGCTTGGGGGCAGGGCAGTCAGCGCAGAGCACAGGTCTGGGGTGTCGAAAGAAATTCCGTTTGAACGGAAGACTGTGCAGTCTGCATTCTGCATGGCCTCCGCGCTGCCTGGTCCTGGCCTTCTGTCGTCTTCCCGACAGCTCTCTGCAAGCCGTGAGCCGCTGTCTTGCCCAGGGGAGCACAGCCCCACCTGGCCGACTCCTCCTGCACTGACACTTCCCACACTCCTCCTCCGCAGGTGCCTCTGCCTCGAGTCCCCGTTAACACGTCACGACATCTGTCTGGCTCCTTGGTTGACTAATGACTAGAATACAATCCTGAACGCTTGATACTATAATGGAGTGAGAATCAGGATTTTATTTTCTTCTGAAAATTACCTTTTGATACAGGTTAGCAGGAGTTAAGATCTCATTTCTACTATTCACTGACTTTGACCTTTGGGAGATTTCTAACCTCGCTGGCATGAATCTCAATTTACTTGAAAAAGGAGGCTGGTGAGCCTGGAGCAAGAACCTACAGATAGGAACCTTCCAGAGCCTTCTAGAACCCTAGGCTCAGAATTCCCCCAGGCCCTGCTTCTCGCCTAGGCCCCGCCCCCGCCAGCAGCCCCGCCCCTAGATTAAGCTCCGCCCCGCCAAGCGGCCCCGCCCCCGACCCGTCCAGGCTACAAAGTCTGGGCTCCCAGCCGCGCGCCCAGAGTGCGGGGGAGCCGGGCCTGAGCTGCGGCCGCGCCGCGCACTCCCCATTGGACGAGCGCGGCGCGGGGGCGGGCCCGGGCCTGCGATTGGCTCCTGGCGCCGTGACGCGGCCCCGACCGGCTGGCCGGGCGCAGCCCGGCGTCATGGAGGCCAGGACCGTGACCCGGGCGGCCGCGCGGCGGCGGCAGCGGCAGCAGGCGATCGCGGAGGCTGGGACGCGGGAGGAGCTGGGACGGCGGCCGAGGCGGCGGCGGCGGCCGGGGAAGAGGTGGGGTCACGGGCTCGCGAGTCGGCAGCGCGGGGACAACGGTCGGCGCCCGCCCTGCTCCCGCGGCCCGCTGGAGGACCTGCGCGCCCGGCTACCGCGCCCCTGCCAGGCCGCCGGCCGCTGGCCTTCTGTGACTGGCGTCCAGACAGGGTCCCTCCCCATCTCAGAAACGGGGTGCAAGCCGAATGCCGGCGGGCTCAGCGGGGATCCTGGCGCCTCGGCCGGGGCACCTGCCTCCCCGCGCCTGCTGGTTTGTGCAGAAGATCCTGGCAGCGCGAGGCAGAAAGGGATGAACGTGCCCCTCTGGGCCTGGCTTCCATCCTTTTTGGGGCATCTGCCCACCGGGTAACCCCTGGGCAGCAGGCTGCCGGGGGGAGTTAGGAGCACGGACGTGGCTTCTGGAAGCCCAGAGCGGCGAGACCGATGGGTGTTTCAGACCGCACGGTGGCGGGTGGTGAGAGAGATTCTTGGTCAGGAGGAATGTGGAGATGGCTCTTCCCCTCCGAGTGGAGGAGTTACGGGTGACAAAGGTGAACTGGTGTAGGCAGGGTCGTCCTGAGAGGTCCTGGAGGGGCAGAGGAGGGATAGTGAAATCAGCAAGCGGGGTTGGGAGAGGAGGGCGGTGGAAGGACAGAGGAAAGGGGCGACGTCTGTGGCATCTCCACCTGAATCGGCCTCATCCCTCCCGCAACCCCCCTGCAGTTCTTAGGCTTCCCCAGAATCATTCCAGGCGTCCTGGGGCAGTGCTCGGTGTTGGGAGATCCTGTGGTGGGAGCTTTGCCAACAAGCCTCAGAATGCAAGTGGGGTGTTGGCAGATGGTACCCCAGTGAACAGAAAAGTGGCCTTGGACCTCAGTAGATTTAGAGAATCTCACGTTTGATATCCGTGGCCTGTAAAGGGCTGCTCAGTGTCTTCTCACTACTCTTAAAATAGTAATTTTTTTTAAAAAGAAAGCTGTTTCATTTAGATTTATTTAGGGTTTCCCAACTTAACGTACCAAAGGAACACTCTTCCCCTGTGACATCCATCCACGAACAGCTGCGGTTAGTGCTCCGTGGATACGCTGGGGGAAGGTTGCCCGTAGCGAAAGCTCAGCCCCTGCTCTCTCAGGACCTACAGACTCTCTGGTACTTTGAGTGCTCCTTGCCCCTCGGCCATAGCAAAACCTGTGGGCCTCGTGAAGTATTAATATATATTGATCTTTGGCTTGAGCTGTTTGGGTGGCTGCTGGAGAGGGTTTGGTGTTTATCCTTGAAAATAGCCCTTGCCACGTGTGTCCAACCAGAAGCCACAGTGACTCTCGGACGATCAGGGCGTCTGGTGTCTTTGATTTGGACGTGTGTCTGTAGTTTACCTTAAATAGCGTAAGCCAGAGAGCGTCTCTCCCCATGTGTCCAGGGAAACGAGGCCATTTGCTCCTGAGCGTCCTTTACCTGTTTATTTTTAACTTAAAACTCCTTCTTTGCCTAGAATCGAAGAGGACGAAGAAGCAGCAGTCTTTCGAGAAGTGGTCAGTTTTACCCCGGCTCCTTTGTCAGGTGAGAAGGCTGAGGCTGTGGACACTATCCACATTCGCTCCAGGGGCGTCTGGGTGGTGGGCTCCCGCTGCCCTCGCCCTCAGGGGCTCTCTCCGATTTGTCATCAGAGCATTTCCTTTAACCCTGTAATTTCCACTAATTCCTCACTGTTTCCCTCCTCGGACCAGTTAGATATTATGACAAGGACACCACCACACCTATCAGCTTTTACTTGTCTTCGCTGGAGGAGCTCTTGGCGTGGACACCGCACACGGATGACGGCTTTAACGTCGCCCTGGAGCCCTTGGAGCGCCGCCAGCCCCCTCTGAGCAGCCAGAGGCCCCGAACCTTGTTGTGCCATGACATGATGGGCGGGTACCTGGACGACAGGTGAGGACCTTGCCTCTCGTTGGTTTTGTTGCTTGTTTTCCTACGGTGGGGGGCCTGGAGGGGAGGGGGAGAGTGCCAGGTGGATTGGGGGGTCAGGCGCCGGGCGTCTAGACCGGCTCTGCACTGGCTGGGAGAGAAAGTCAGGCCTTGGCGTTTCATCTGTAAAAGGAGAGGATTGGACTAGGCAATATCTTATGTCTCTTTCAGCTCTAAAATCGTTTGATCCCTCAAACTGCTTCAGCTTGAAGCCTGGTAGATTGGCGAGGGCATGGCAGTAGGGGTCCTCCCCAGACTGCCTAGCCCAGCTCTCCGTGTCTTCACTTGGGCTTGTTTCTGTGACTGTCTTCACTCCAGCTCTGATTCTGTCCTGGGTCAGTGGGCTCTGGCTTCTGGTGCACAGAGCTGTCACATGCCCCTCCCTCTGCCAGCTGTGGACATTCCATCCAAAGTTGCCATGGAGTCAGCTTGGAGCTTTTAAATGTCCCTGAAACAGTCTTGGGTATTATGGTTGATGGGAAGGCTTGAGTGAGAGCTGGCCGTCAAGGTAGAGACAGGAAGGTGATGAAACCTTGGGTGCAGCTCACGTGGCTGTCAGCCCCGACCTCCAAATGCAGGCAGACTGTGTCCTAGAGGGACTGCTCACCTCTCTGCATAGAGCGGGGAGGCCAGGGACTTGGAGCTTTGACACGGGCCTTCTGTTTTCCTTTCTTCTCTCCTTGGTTCGTCTGCTCACTGAGGCTAAGAGTGCTCAGTGCATCCGGACCCAATGGCAGACGTCTAATGCCCTGGTGAAAACGTTTTCCTTGTGGTTGCGAGAACAGTGGCTTGTCCCTGCCTCGCTCTCCACCTGCACAGGGCCTGGGTATCACAGGCTTTCAGTGTCACCTGAACGGAAACTAAGGGAAACCTTTGGGGTTGCCCTCTTGTCACCTTGAGGTCACTGTGTCTTTATTGTTTCCTGGGACCTGACTCTGTTCTGTTTCTTCACCCAGGTTTATTCAGGGCACAGCGGTGCAGAACCCCTATTCCTTCTACCACTGGCAGTACATTGACATCTTTGTGTACTTCAGCCACCACACGGTCACCATCCCCCCGGTAGGCTGGACCAATGCTGCCCACAGGCATGGGGTCTGCGTGCTGGGTAAGGGCCAAGGACGTACCTCCGACTCAGCCAGACTCACTAGCACACCTGCCCGGTGACCCAGGGATCAGATGGCTCTGGCCTTGCTGCTTAGTGAGTGGAGCTCCTCCCCTGGGGGCTGCCTTGGTAGGTGAGGACAGGCGTCTGCAGACTGTCACTGCCACGGAGTGACTGTTTTCAGCTTCACAGGCCGCTGGGTCATTGTTGTAGTTACTGATGCGAAAGCAGGTACACAGATGGGTGAAGCTGTGGTCAGTGAAAATGTATTTACAAACACAGGTGGTGGGCTTTGGCCTGAGGGCCATGGTTTGCCGACCCCTGAGTCGGAACACTGCTTCTCAAGCCTCAGCCTGAATCCAGGTCATTTATGGCCTTCTATAGCTGTGATGCTGGTGCCCAGCCTGGGGTGTCTGACTCACTAGATATCTGGGAACAGGGCCCAAGAATTTGAATGTCTAACAAGCGATTAAGTGATACTGATGTCGAGGGTCCGGGAACCCCACTTTGCAAACTCCTTGGTCAGAGGGAAAGCGATCCCTGTGGGTGACCTCGTTTCTCTCCTGTCCTTACAGGGACTTTCATCACAGAGTGGAGCGAAGGGGGCAGGCTCTGTGAAGCCTTCCTGGCTGGGGACGAGCGTTCGTACCAGGCGGTGGCCGATCGGCTCGTCCAGATGGCTCAGTTTTTTCGTTTCGATGGCTGGCTGATCAACATCGAGAACTCGCTGAGTGTGAGTGTGGGCTCAGCCCAGCCCGCCCCTGCTGCTTTGCTCTCTACCTCCCCCTCTTCCCTCGGCCTCACCTTGTCCCGCTCTGCTGTCCTTGGGCCGCAGGCTGCAGCAGTGGGAGCCACTTGTTGCCTCCCAGGCAGAGCCAGTGCTGAAGTCTTAGTTACTTTGCAGTGAGTTGGAATATCCTCGAGCTCTGTCCAGAAAGCTGGCTTGCCTGGGCTCTTGCTTGTCCCGCTCCTGCGGTGCGATCACACCTTCCCTTCCTTCTCACTGCCGCTCGGCCTGGGCTGGACATGGGCCTGCCTTTTCATGGCACCCTCCCCTGTCAGTGCATTCTGTCTGTCCTGTGTTCATGTCCCACCTGCTGCAGCAGAAAGTCATTATCTGGCTGGACGCCCTCTTGGCGCCTGGGGGGTGGAGGGGATTTCGGGACCGTGGTTCAGTTTGTGGATCTGTTTGCTCTTGTGTCCTCCGGTCTGTCCTGGGCTGGATGCTTCTCATGACAGATGTATCTGAGCCTCACGTAGGGTCTCGTCCTCATTCCTCTCTCCCAGCTGGCTGCCGTGGGGAACACGCCTGCTTTCCTCCGGTACCTGACCACGCAGCTGCATCAGCAGGTCCCGGGGGGCCTGGTGCTCTGGTACGACAGCGTGCTGCGGAGTGGGCAGCTCAAGTGGCAAGATGAACTCAACGAGCAGAACAGGTGAGCCTGTGGGGTGGGTGCCTCCTGGGAGCAGTGCACATGTGGCTGCTTTGGGGAAAAGGGGGAGAAGGCACACAGTTGTCTCCTGTCCTGGTCATCAGCCGACACAGTAGTGCTGTGCCGTGCCGAGGGTCACAGGTGAGGACTGGCGGGCTGGCCCTCTCTTTGGCTGCAGGCGCTGTTCTGGGCCCTGGAGGCAGCCCCCAGCCTGTGAGTCGTGAGTGACTCTGAGCACTGGGAGGGGGAGGCTGAGACTGCTGGGGGCCGTCCCCTTGGGACTGGTCTCACGGCAGGTCCTCATCACCTCTCAGGGTCTTCTTTGATTCCTGCGACGGCTTTTTCACCAACTATAACTGGCGGGAGGAGCACCTGGAGCGGATGCTGCGGCAGGCCGGGGAGCGCCTGGCTGACGTGTACGTGGGCGTGGACGTGTTTGCTCGCGGGAACGTGGTCGGAGGCCGGTTCGACACGGACAAGGTGGGTGGAGGCCTTTGCACCAGAGAGCCAGTGGCCTGTGTGCCCTCCCTGGGGTCCCGATTCCTCACAGACCTTCCATTCTCATCTGTAACTCAAGGGAAAGAGAGGCAGCAGCTGTTCTTCCCAGAGTGGGGAAACTGAGGCACTGAGAAACATGGTCAAACCGCTCTGAGGCCAAGCTGTGTCCCAGTGGAAATCCTCACTTCCGGCCATTTCTTTTTATGGGGGAGTCAGTGGACAAAAGCGTCCTGTTCTGATGGCTGGCTGGTCTCCGCCGGCCTAGACTTCCTTTTGACAAGCAGTGAAGCAACCTCCCACCCTCCAGGGCAGACTCAGGCAACACAGAGCGTCCTGACGGGAGGGGAACCTGCAGCCTTGGGCCACGTGTGGCCTTCTGATCCTTGAGTGTGGCCTTTTGACTGAATCTAAATTTTACAGAACAGATCCTTTTCACAGAGGGATTTTTTTCTGTGAAGTTTAGATTCAGTTGCGGGGCCACACCTGTGGATCTGGAGGGCTCCATGTGGCCTCGAGGCCTCAGATTCCCTGCTGCTGGCTGGTGTAACGACCAGTGAGAAGTTTCTGGCAAGGCAGGTCACATGAGCGAGGCGGGGGCAGGGGTGGCTGGGCGATGCCCCCTGCACAGCTGGAACAGGGGTCTGCCTTGTCAGTGCTGCCCGAAGCTCTCAGTCATTAATTAGTTAAGCTTTAAATGGATAAATTAATCCAGTAACTGAGGATTCTCTTTACCCCTGTGATTCTGATAGTAACGAGAGGTTTATGTGAGAGGGAGATGGGGCAGCAGGCAAGTGTCCCCTGCCCCGTGCCCCTGTCCCCAGCAGCGCCTCTGCCCGCCTCCCAACCCGTCTAGCGCCCTCCTCTGGCCAACTCTGGACCGACGGGATGAGCCCCGGAGCGCCAGGTGGAGTTGGGAGGAGGGGTGTGGACAGCCTCCCCTCCCCTTTCTGAGCTGGCCCTGAGAGAACCCCCACCGGTGTCACTGGCACCCAGGAGCCTATCTGGGCCCTGGCTGTGGCGCTGCTGGGGTGGGAGGCATCCCCCTGACTTCTGTCTCCCTAGTCGTTGGCGCTGATCCGAAAGCATGGGTTCTCGGCGGCTCTGTTTGCTCCCGGCTGGGTGTATGAGTGTCTGGAGAAGAGGGATTTCTTCCAGAACCAGGACAAGTGAGTCCTGCGCCGCAGGGGCTGAGCGTGCAGACGAGAGGCAGGGAGGGCAGGGGTTCCTCTGGCTGCTGGCAGTGGCTCATGGTCTTGTTCTTCAGCAGCCCTTTCCATCTCTGGCTTGGTAAAGGAGGATGAAGGGACCTTGGCTGCTTCCAGGTGGGGGACTGAGCCTGAGCAGCCACTTCCACAGACTGGCCTCTGGCCTGCCCGTAGCCAGGGGAGCTGCAGTCCTCCCGAAAGGCCTGTCTTGGAGGGTGTGGGGGACCCTCGAGTTACAGCCAGCGAGTTCAAGGGACGTGAAAGGCCCCTTTGCTCTAGATTGAGCTGCAGCCTCCTGTGTCTCTGGCAGGTTCTGGAGTCTGCTGGAACGCCACCTGCCCACACACAGCATCTGCTCCTTGCCCTTTGTCACGTCTTTCTGCCTGGGCATGGGGACACGAAGAGTCTGCTACGGCCAGGTGTGTGGGCCCGGTGCTGCATGGCGACCGAGGGGCTGCCCTCCCTCCATCTGTCCTCTGGCCGCAGCTGGGCTGGGTGGTAGGAGCCTCGGGGTGTGCCAGTGGGAACGTGGTGGCCTCGCGCTTCCACGCTCTGCGCCTGCTCTGCTGGCGTCCACTGAGCCCCTCATCCTGCCCTTCAGGAGGAGGCCGTGGGGCCCTGGTACCACCCAAGTGCCCAGGACATCCAGCCCTTGTTCGGAGAGCACAGGCTGGGAGGGGACAGTGGCGGTTGGGTGAAGACGCACTGCTGCCTGGTGGACGCCTGGCACGGGGGCAGCTCCCTGCTTCTCCGGGGCACGATCCCACCTGAGGTTGGGAATGTGGCCGTGAGGTGGGTGAGTGATGGGGGGTGTGCGGGCCCACCAGCTTCTCCCGTCGCTCACGGTGGTTGCAGAGCTGGGCAAATGGGGCAGCGGAAGCCAGAGCGAGGACAGAGGATAGATCCAGATGATTATTTTTTTTAGATTGTGGTCAAAAATGCATAACATAAAAAATTTACCATCTTCACCATTTTTAAGTGTACAGTACGAGAACGTTAACTTAGGCACGCTGTTGTGCAGCAGCTCCTCTAGCACTCTGTCATCTCGTAAGACTGACACTTTGCCCTTCCCGCCTCTCCCAGTCCTTGGAGACCATCCTCTGCCCTCTGTGTCCGTGAGTCCGACTGCACGGACTCCTCACGGGGGGCGGGAATCATGCAGCGTTTCAGAACTGACGCTTTTCCGTCCGTGAAAGAATCTGGCCCTGGGAGAAGACCTGTCTCCTGGCCATGGGCAGGACCAGAGTGCGGAAGCTTTTGCCACTGAGACTCCCTGTCCCCAGAGGGCAGTGGCTGGCGGAGGCGGTTTGGGCTGCCTCCGTCTCTCTGCGGAGCTTCTCCGAGCCTCTCACCACGGGCTGTTTCTCCTGCAGGTTGTTTTCCCTGCAGGTCCCGGTGCCGCCCAAAATTTTCCTGTCCATGGTCTACAAGCTTGAAGGGCCTACGGATATCGGGGTTGCTTTGGAGCTGACCACAGGGGATGCCAGCAGCTGTCATGTCGGTGACATCTCAGTGCTGAACGGTGAGGAGATGGGTGGCCCCTGGGAGAGAAGTGTAGAAAGCTCATGGGGCGTGTGGGAGCGGGTGTGGACCGTGTTGTGCAGATCCTGCCTTTGCTGGAGTCAGGGCAGCTGCAGTCCAGGCCTGACAGGGAGGCCTCAGTTCTCAGCCCAGACCTCTGTCCTGGGTCCTCATCAGGCTGCGCGGCCTCTTGTGCGGCTTGGACAGGGGCATCCTGCCGGCTGTGGCATCGAGGGGGTGTGGCCAGTTTGAGAGAAGCCAGGACGAGTGACCCTTGTGTCCCTCCCTGTGTGTCTTCCTTTGGGAGGCTCTTTTCTCAAGTCCCACTTCTCCTTCTGCAGAAACGAGCTCGAGACACAGTCCCCGACCCCTCCGGGTGCCCCCAACCAAGCTGGCCAGATGGGCGGGCCGCTGTGGCCAGCCACTCAGTGGGGGCTGGATCCAGCGGTAAGGCCCTCTGCTTCCTGTTGAGAGCCCAGCAGGGGACAGCCACACTGAGGTGGGGACTGGAGGAGTGAGGGTCCCCTGTGGAAACCCCAGAACTGGAGGGACAGAGGAGCTCTGGGTTTGACCTTCCAGGTTTTGGGCAGCTCCGAGACACAAGCCCAGGACACTCAAGTGTTAGGGTTGGGGTTCAAGGTTGTCGTGGGGACTTGCCTTACATGGGCCCAGGGTCTATTCTGGGATGGAGTTCCCTTCTGCTGTGGCTTGGGGCCTCTGAACAGCTGGCCTGGGAGCCACTGAGCTGAGTGAGGCCTGTGACCACCCTGCTCTCCTCTCCCAGCTGCTATGAGGTGAGCCTGCGCGGGTGCCTCCTGCTGGACCTCTTCGTTAACTTCTCACGGCCGCCAGGCAGCCAGCAGCAGGAGAGCTTCGTCTGTCGCCTCGGAGAGATCCAGGTGATGCATCCCAGAGGGGCTCAGGCAGAGATGTCCATCCAGTTGGAGGTCCAGCGGGGAGTTGGGGTGGAGTCAGGCAGTGGAGGTGTGCGGGTCGGGGAGCCTTCCTGCTGTCCCCCGGGCCCGGCCTGCTGAGCCTGCTCTCTCTTGCCAGGTGGTGGATGCCAACAGCCTGCTGGCCCCTCTGCCCCAGGTGCAGGCGGTCACTGTCACGCACACCCGCTGGCAGCAGGCTGCCCCTGCTCAGCTGCAGCTCAGCTGCACCCTGCACTGGTCCTACCCCCTCCCACAAGTCCGTTGCTTCCGCATCCACCACTGGGGCGGCGTGAGACGGGGCTCTCGCGGCAGGGAGCCACCGTGGCCAGAGAAGCCCACGTTCCTGGGCCTGGCTTTTGCCAACCAGTACCGGGTAGTGGACCTGCCGGTGGAAGCTGCTGGGCCTGGCCAGGAAGGTCGTGTGGAGTTCCTGGTGGAGCCCGTCCCCAAGGAAGGGTTTCTGGTACCACAGGCCGAGTGGGGCCGGGCAGCCCTGCTCTACTCAGCCCCCGCGTGAGCAACGTCAAAGCGCCACCATCTCCTGGCCTCAGACTGAGGTTCCTTCCCGGCTCTCTGCCCCGGGCCTGCGCCTGTCAAGTGCGGGCAGTGGTGGCCAGACCCAGGTCCCAAGGGCTGGGTGGAGACCCTCCCTCCTCAGCAGGCTGGGACCCAGGCTGTGGCTTTGGTGGGGCACTGGTAATAGGACAGCCCAGAAGTCAGTTTGCTGAGTTGGTAATTCCAAGGTGAATGAACGGCCTTCTGTTTCTGTTTGGTTTCTCTCCATAGTATATAGTTCCCAGGAAAAAATGAAAGGATTTGAGGAAGTTTAGTCCAGAAGATTCCATAAAGGATATTTCCTAACAGGCTGAAAGGTGTTTGTGCTGAGAATGGCGACTTTCCTCCTGCAGGTCATCTAGGAAGGAGCTTGAGCTGTGGCAGGAGGGCCTCGGGCACGCCCAGAGAGGGTTCTGGGCTGACCCACAGCGGCCGTCAGGTGGGGGCAGAAAGAGTGGGCCGCTGCAGGGTGGCGGGAAAGGCCCCTTTCTCCTTGGGATGGGAGCTCAGGGCCAGGCTGGCACTGGCATTACATCCCCACGTGGGCAGGACAGGCCAGCTCCAGTGTCCCTGCAAGCCTGAAGTCATTTCTGGAGAGTTCGCATCAGCCCCCAGCGCTGTTGTGTCTCCTCTGGGCTGTAGGCACCCAGCGAGGCCGGCCATGTGTGCGGGCCCCGCCTCCGCCTGGCCGGAGCCATGGCTCCAGAGAAGCCTCCCTCGGGCTCGGGCATCGGCCCCAGCCCCGCCCGCGGCCTGCGTGCCGATGCTCTGGGACCCAGTGGGGCTTTTCCAGCTATTTTGTTCCTTCACATCCTCCCCTCTCGGCCTCACCCAAGGCCTGGGGAGACCTAGAGGCGGCCCCTGCGTAGGCGCTGGCTCAGGTGCGTGGGAGTGTGCGGGAGGCAGGTCCTCCCCACTGTGTCCTGTCTTCTCTGTTCTTTCCTTCTCTTTCTTCTCGAACCCTCCTTTCCCCCTCTGCCCAGGCGGGTGTGTGTGCACGGGTTTCGGCAGGAGGCCGTAGGTGAGCTGGAGGCCTCTGCAGCCACACGGCTCCCTATTGACACCTGGGCTGCCCTGGAGGCTTCCTGACAGTGGTGTCCAGACCCCATGGCCTTGGGTGACCCTGCTGACTGCTCCAGTCCCCGTGCAGGCGAGGTCTGTTGTGATCGACAGGATCAAAGGCCTGAAGTCCCTCGCTCTTGCGGGAGGTCTCTCACCCACAGGCCACATAGGGCCAGTCAGGGTTACCTTCCATCGCTGCTGTCCTCTTCCTGTGGTGTGGGGTGGAGCCGAGGGCTAGGATGCTCTGTGACCACAGCATCTTCGGACTTGACTTTTCCCTGTAGTGAGGGGAGAGGCCACCAGGGCCAGGCCAGCCATACCCCTTCCTTGTCCTGAGAGGGTACACTGGGTACCTGTCAGCGCTCTGAGCGCCAGGTCCCCTTCCAGGGGCTGCAGCTGGCCTCTTTCTCCACGTTCCCTGCTCTTCTGGGTGCTCATGTGCCGAGCACCAGCAGGAAGCCCTGGGATGAGGGGATCTGCGCCCTTTCCTAACTGGGAACGTTCTCCCGTGTCTCCCGTGTGGCCCAGCCAGCTCTCACCCCAGGAGGGAAATGAGTTTGCCGAGCATGTGGGGCAGGGAGATCCCTCTGCTGCCCGCTGCAACCCAGAGCAGTTCCGTGGCCTGTTATGGCTGGGGGACTCCTGGGGCCCCACTCTGTGCCCCAGGGGTGGGCACAGGGCCGCTGGGCTGCCAGGGTTGGGCAGCATGGCATGAACACTGCTTCCCTTATTTCACGAAGTTGTTTTTTTAAAGTGCCTGTTGCCCTGAATATTTTATGCAGAGAAGGAGGGAAAATTTATAGTGGCAATTACTTTCTCACAGTCTGGTGCGCGAGCAATTAGGAGTCGGGGGGCTTAGCAGAGCGTGGCGTGCGGCGGAGTCTCACCACCCGGCTCCCCAAGAGCGTGGTCCCCAACCCCAACAGCGACGGCTCGTGTACAGGAAAATTAATATGCCAGCACTTAAGCCTGTGCCCCTCTGGTGGGTGTAATCGCTCTGAAATAAATTATCCGATGTTGTGAAAAATGAACTTGCGTCTCTGTGCGATGGGGGGGTGTGGTCCGGCCCAGTCTGGAATTGCTCGGGCCCAGTCCCAGGTTTCTGGGCCCTGGAAAGTTCTGCCGCTTACCTCTTGTGTCCCTCCTCGCTCTGCCCTGGCTCCTGCCCTCCTTTCCGGGAGTGGGGACTTGGAACCTGCGGCTGGAAGAGTGGGGGACACCTTGAAGTAGCGCAGCTCCTCACGGGCCCCAGGCCCCACCCCCCGTGCCCTCTCTTGCATTGAGTTGGCAGACAGCTGAGTGTGGCTGCAGGGTCACCTGGCCTAACCCTCCTGCCTCCTGGGGTGCATTCTGCTCCAGCGAGGTCACGCTGCGCCCGGCACTGTGTCCGGCCCAGGGGAGAAGGGACCATGGCTGTCCTCTGCCTCAGGGTCCTGGGGAGCCCCCGCCTGTCCATTCTCCTGGGATGGGGTGCAGAGGACCAGCCTGGAGGAGAGGACTGGGGCTTTAAAGCCTCTTCCCTAGAGGGGCCCTCTGACTCCCCATTGCCACTTGGCTTCAGGCGGCGGCAGCGTGGGGTCCTGTCTGGGCCGACCCTGCCCCTGGTCCTCCTGTGTCCTCCACCCACCGTGCCCGGAGCTGCCAAACCACGAAGAGCTGTCCTGGTTTGAAGAAAGAAATCTTTATTAATAATCTTAGTAATACTGTTACTTTGAATGGTCACACCTTGGAAGCATACAGAATGGTAAGAAAGGAAGCCGGGGCTCGGCCGCAGTCCTGGGGGTCCGGTTGGGGGTCGAGCTGCTGCAAGAAAAGGTTGTGGGACAGCGGGGCGGGGGCTCTGTACAGAGGACGCGGAGGCGGGGCGCAGGGCTATGTACAACGGTAATAGAAAAGGAGGATTCCGTTCGGTAGCTTCAGTAGCTGATGCTGAATATAAAGTGAGGTGTATTTTTTAAATTTTTGACGTTTCATGAGACAGTGGAGCCATGTTGGGAGCTACTTTTTGTAGTTTTTTGCTGCTTCCCTCCCCCAGCTCTCCCTGCCGCCACCTGCCCTTCCCGCCCTCCCACCCTCGCGCCTGCCTGGGAGGGGGCTGCGGCTGCTGGGCTCCCGGCCCTCACTCCCGGGGGCCCTGCCCTGGCCGTCCAGACCGCAGCGCTGGGACTCCCAGCCTCGTGGTGCTGCCGGCGCTGGCCCGTCCCTGGCCCTGTGTCCCCCACAGGACTGGGCTCCCAGGGGAGCGGCAGGGAGGGCGGGGTCCCCGAAGGCAGCACGAGGTTGGCCTTTGCTCTCACACGCAAGCCCAGGGCCCCTCCAGACAGGTCCTCGGCCTCAGGGACCACCTGTGCAAGCGTGCAGGTGTGAGTGGCTCCTGGCCCGGGCTCCCTCCGTTCTCACGCAGGGGAGGGCACGGGGCACCCAGAGTTCTGCAGCCACATCAGCCCTTTTTGCTGGAGTCGGGCCCCAGGGCTGCTGGTCGGACGGCTACCTCACCAGGCTGAGGGTGGCGGGGCACAGAGGATGCGACACAGGTGACGGGGCCCCGCGGAGCCCCTGGGATGAAAAGCCACCCGCCCACCCCCAGCCCAAACGTCCCCTCCACTGGCACAGCTGGCAGCAGAGATCAAGTCCTACTGGCCACCTCTTCCCTGCTCAGGCCCGGGGCCTGCTCACCGCCAGGCTCCATAGCCTTGGGAGTGGGGGGCCAGGAAAGGAAGACCGGATAGAAAACGGAGCCCCCCACAGGCCACACAAGGGAGGCCCCGTCGTCCCCTCCAACTCCCCACTGTTCTGCCAGCCGGGCAGGGGCGAGGGACGCGGTGGGGGCCGTCCTGTCCCTGGGCCGCGCTCCACGGCGCCCCCTGCCGACGTGCTCCCTCGGTGCGGTGTGCGGCCAGGTCGCGGACTCGGACTTGGCTGGATGCCTCTCGGTTTGGTTGGGTTTTTGTTGCTTGGATCGTAACATCTTTTTTTGTGTTTTTTGTTTTGTGATTTTTTTTTGTTTTGTTTTTTTGTTTTTGCCCTTCATGGTCCGAGAAGGAAACGGTGGAAGGTTTCACTACAACAGAAACAGAAAGGCAGGACTTGCAGTATCTCAGGAGCAGCCACAGGCGTGGCATGGGGGCAATGGGCCTGCCCTCAAGTCTTGGGGCCCCCACACCTGCCCCAGCTTCTGGGACCCGTGTCTTCCTGGGCTGTGTGGAGGCGGGGCGGGCAGAAGGCAGGGCCAGGAAGGGGCCTGGGCAGCTCAGGGTAGCGGGAAGGGGACGCCACAGTGGACCTGGCTGGGAGGGGCCGCCCGGGGCTGCGTCAGGGCGTGGCTTGGTGGGACCAGCAGGGCAGGGCGTGTGGAGAGGCTGGGGCTGCGCGGGCTGCAGCGGCCTGAGTGAGATGGCTGAAGGTGAGGTGTGGGCAGCGGGACCTCAGCCCTGGCTGGCAGGGAACCCACACCCTTGAGCCAGCCTTCCCGCTCCAGAAGCCCAGCCTGGCGCGCTCAGAGCCCAGGACTATTTACTCCTGCCACAGAGGTGCAGGTATATGCCCTGGCCGGCCCTGGAGAAGGACCTCGCCTGTCTTGCCCAACTTTCCCAGGGGGCCAGCAGCTCCCGAGGGCTGGGCCGGACCACTGGGCCCAGCCAGCATCTCCTCAGGAGCGCCACGGCCTGGGTGGGTGGGTGCCAGGGCTGAGACGGCCCCTGGGCCCTGCACGTGGTCTCTGGGGCTGGACTGGCGGGAGCGGGCTGGCTCAGCAAGGCCTGAGCAGGCAGCGCTTGTCCCCTCGCGGCTCTCCTGGTGAGGCCCCTCCGAAATGGACTCTGATAAAGGCATTTCGGAGCTTGGGGACAGGGAGGGTGGGCTGTGGCTCTAGGACAAACACCCAGTGCGAGGCTGGCCTGGTCCCGCTGGCAGTGCTGAGGTGCTCTGTGGAGAGGCAGGGACAGGCCTGCCCACACGTCCGTTTCTCGGACAATAGTGCTAAGGAGTCGCGGAGACCAGGGTGACCACGGCAGTCTGCACACCATGTGACATGCTTGTGATTACGGCGGGAAAGTCATCAATAAAATTTAATTAAAAATATTAGTTTCGGCTGGATGGGGTCGGGGGAGGTGGCTATGCCTGTAACTAGCTGGGCACAGTCTGGACAGGCGCTGGCAGGCTGGGGCCCGCCTGGGGCGCCGGAGCCCCTCCCTCCCTGTATCAGGGCGCTGCCGCCAGGGTAAGGGCCAGAGCCGGGTGTCGCCCTCACAGGGCGCTATTGCTAGTCCCAGGGGAAGGGCTGCCTGGTCGCGGGCCCCAGCCTGGCCCCCTCTAGGTGCATACTGTACCTGCAATGACTTGGGCAACACAACACCAACAAAGGCAAATAGGAAATCAGTGTTTCAGACATACAGAAAAACCAGGGTCAAAGACACACACGCCATCACGGGTGGGGCGGGGAGACCAGCTGGCTGGAGATAAAAATGTATGGATTTTAGAGTCGCGGAGGGTCAGCGGCGCGTGTCGCTGACCGGGAGGGGCGCACTGTCTTCCTGGTGGCTGTGCCTGGTGTTTGGACTGTTGGGTTTGGTGTGTAAGAGGCAGTCAGTGTGAATGCTGTTAGGGGCTGGGTCTCTTGCTAGTAGGGGGTGAAGCGGCTGTACCCTCCTCGGCAGAGGCTAGCCTGCAACATCAAAGATGAAAAACAGCCAATCAGTACCACCTTTTGGTAGGGGTGAAAAAGCAAAAAGAAAAAAAATAAGGAAAAACAAAAAGAGAAATAGCTAAGTTCCATTTTCTTCCCCATTACAATATTCCTTGGGGAGGAGAAAGGGCGTTGGGTTGTCATGGCAACAGGAGGGGCAAGGGGGTGGTCTTGCGGTAAGGAGGGGTGCTCCGGGGCCATCAGCCAATGGCTTCTGGCTCACAAGCTTTTGAGTTGCCTCTTGGTCAAGTCTCTGGGCTCAGGCCTGGCCCCGATCTGCCCTCAGGTTGGGAGAGGTCCGAGCGGGATCCCCACCTTCCTCAGTGCCCCAGGGGGACTACGCAGGGCGACCAGAGAGGGTGGAGGGTCCCTGGGGCCGGTGGAGCCAGCTCCCGTGGAAGGGGCACACCTGCTGGGCACAGCCCTGAGGGCTCCCTCTCTGGGGGCCTCTGGGACGCCCACAGGGGTCCCTGGGTCCTCTTGGGTCCAGCCTAGGCCTGGCCCCGTGTCCTGCCGGGGAGGACAGGTCTTGGGTGCCCCTGCTCTCCCACACCCCTAGGCTGCCCGGAGTCACGGAGGGCTCCGAGGGAGCCTCCCACCCCACTCACCAGTCTTGCCAGAAAAGGGAAGAAAACAGCAAGTTACAAGAGAAGAAAAATTGGGGGAAAAATAGAAAATCTTAAATATAAAAAAGGAAACTGCAAGAGGGAACCCCCCGTGCTAATGAAAGCGTGTGCCCAGGAGCTGCAGGGAAGGCCTGTGCACCCCGGTATCGGGGCCCCGTCCAGGGGGGGCTTGGCCCCCAGAGCTGCTCCCTGTGGCTGCCAGCAGTCACCGCAGGCTGCTTGGGACATCCAAGGCTTGTTAAAAATCAAAAAAAGCAAAACAAGAATTGGGAGGGAATAATCAAACCCAAGGGAGATGGAGAAAAATCCATATTGCCTCCAAACCTCCTCCCTCCTTACTCAACGCGAAACGTTTTCATCTTTGATGCTGGGTGCCAAGCTAGCTGGAACCAACACTGACCCCAACTGGGGCCGGGGGCGGGTGGGCTCAGGAGGAGGGTGAACACTGGAAGACATCTGGGTTCGGAGTGAGCTGGGCTGTATGTGTCGCCAGCTGGCCGTACACAAACACACACACAGACACGCGGCCCGTCGGGGGTGGGCCCCCGCCCCGTCCTGCCCTCTGCACCCCACAGCCCTTGGGATTCCCCAGGAGCCCTGAGGAGTCCAGGAGGGGTTTGGTGAGAAGCAGCAGGTGGCCTTCCTATTGAGGAGCAAGGAGCCATGTGGCCTTGGGGGGTCTGGGGGAGGGACATAGGGGCGTGGTGCGGGCACACCCAGGAAGGGAAGGGAGGCCGCACTTGCAGAAACAGCCCTCTGGCCTTTGGGCCTCTGCTGGGCCGCAGAGGTGGCCCTGGGTTGGTTTCTTGGGTCTTCCTGGTGGTGGGAATGGAGGGGCCTTAACGTGACTTTGGTTATGGGACTCAGAAAACAGGTCGGGTACATTAGGACGTTTCCCAGAGGAGCAGATGGTCAGCCTTGCGTCCCCTCAACTGAGAGAGGGCGCAGAGGGGCAAGCCCTCCTCTACCTACAGGCCCTGGGCCTTCCAAAGTCACCAGAACTAGGCACTGGTCAGAGGTCTCAGCCTCTCTCCTGAGAGCTCTGCCCACCCACCCTGCGGCAGCGCCATGCCCAGCTTGTGAGGACTGGCACCAGGGACCAGGCGGGTCCCCAGCTCCTTACCATGGTTCCGATGCTGTAGGTGGCCGCGGGGCCGATGGTGTGGTGGTAGGGGTCGGCGGCTGCGTACACTCTGCCGTAACTGGGGAAGAGTGCGGGAGGGGCAGGTGAGGGGTGGCACCAGGCCTCCCACCTCCACCCAGACCTCCCATCCTTCAGCGGGGTCCCTACCTGCAAGGCCCCCCAACCCCACATGGCCCATCCTTCCTGCCTGTTTGGAAGGACGTTTCTGGAACACACAGGCCACCCTTTCAACTCCTCCAGCAGGTGCCAACCCTGATGATGGGTAACATGCTCTACTCAGAGCATCACGGAAGGGAAGAGGGGTCCTCACAGGCTTATCTGGAGGGAGGATGAACCCCAATGCCCAGAAAGAACAGGGCAAAGGGCTGGGAAGAGTTTCTAGACAAGAGGGGAAAACCCCATGGGGGGACCAGGGATGCTGCCGCAAGGAGCTGGCACTGCCCTCCGATGACCTTCCTGTCACACTCATTCCCTCATGTATTTATAGAGACAGGGTCTTGCTCTGTCACCAAGGCTGGAGTGCAGTGGCCCAATCACAGCTCACTGCAGCCTGGAACTCCTGGGCTCAAGTGATTCTCCGGCCTTGGCCTCCCAAAGCGCTGGGATTACAGGCATGAGCCACTGCACCTGGCCTCACCTAATTTATTTGTGCAGGGAAATCTTAGCTTCTTAGAGGACAGGGCACGCCTGCAAGGAGCTGGAGCTAGAGGCTGCAGGAAGGGTGTGGAGGGAGAGAGGGCCAGGCGGTCCCCAGGCCAGAGGGGGCTCTGCAGACACAAGCAGCAGCTTCCCTTGATGAAATACCCACCGCACACCTGACACAGAGACTTGCACAAACAGGAACTCTACTGCCAACAGGCCGAATGCCCAAGGGGAAAGGCATAGACTAGGTCGTCCCCTGGGGCACAGCCGAGCACCTGCACACCCCACCCCCAAACAAAGAGAGCCACCCACCACCTGGGTGAGCTCACGTGGCCCACATCGCCAGCCCAGCCCCATTCCCTCCAAAGGAGGAGGGAGGTGGGCACACTGTGCCCTTCCTTCTCTGAGCTCGAGGGTTTCGGCCCCGGCAGCACTGGCAAGGAGCAGATGTGTGTCCCGGGCAGAAGCTACAGCTCTCGATCAGCACCTGGGGCCTCCGGAGCTGGCGGAGGGGGTGTCACACCTCCAGGGTTGGGAATCAGAGATGCTGTCTGCTCCCTGAGACCTAGCGTTTCCACGGCCTCCCCAGCTGCACAGGCGGAAGTGACTTTTAGGTCAGGGGCTCATTAGCTCGAGAGTGTCCAAACCACACTTGGACCTGCCCTCCTGCCCTGACCCTGCACCCAGCAGGTGCAGACACCTCCAGGCCCTGAATGATGGGTAAAGCTTTCTGTCTGTCTGGGCCCAGCCCTAGGGGGACCCCCTTCCATCTCTCCCATCCTGCCCCAGAACGAGCTCCCTGCCCCAGCCTTACCTGTCGCTGTAGGCTGCTGCTGCTGCGGCCGGCTGGGCGTATCTGTAGGCTGCATAGCCTCCCTGCAGGGCAAGTGGGAGGAGAGATGGCAGACGGACTTAGGGGGGCTCACCCCAGGAAAGGCCGGCGGGGGAGAGATGGGGCTGACACAGACCCTGCGGCTGGGCCCTTTGGGGGGACTACAGACATTCCCAGCCTCCTAGCCTCTCAACTTTCACCTTGGCCTGGAGAGGGTTAGGTGAAGCCTGGTCTAATGGAAGTCTGAGAAGTGCAGGTGGTCGTGTGGCAGGGTTCAAGGTGAGGCAGGGCTGTCTGTTCATTCATTCATTCACACAGCCATTTATACATTCAACACACACCAGTGGGTGTCAATTATACATCTGGCTGTACGCTAGGCCTTGGCACATAGTAGGTGCCCACAGATGTGCTCTAGGCCAGTGACCCCTGACTTGGATGCTGATGGGCTTGGGAGCCCCTGGGTGACTCTGGGTCTTATCCTGGACGCTAGGAAGGTCGAGGGCAAAGGGCCCAAGACGGCGTCAACTCGGGTGACGTCTTGGCCGTAGATGAGTGGGTAGCTGAATTGTGGGCAACTGCAGGACCAAGAGTGGCTGGGCGCATGGGGTGGGGATGCCAGCGAGGCTTCGAGCCAGGGGGAGCAGTAAGAGCAGCTCTGTGAAGGGAGAGAGGAGTGACGGGGCCAGGACATGGGGCAGGGCTAGGCCCAGGAGCACAGGTGTGGTGGACCCCTGCCTGCTGGTCTCTCTCGGGTCCTCTGTATGGACATGGTGCCCTCAGGTGCTCACTCGCCCACCCCAGCACGGTCAGGGATGTGGGAGGGTCGCTGTCTGCCCCATTAGACGACACCTCGCTAACGGAGAGATGCCAGCAGCTTATAGGCCTGCTGGGAGATCCCTTGGCAGCTCCCGTGATGAGCACAGCCCACCCAGACCGGGCCGTGCTGGGACCCCAAGGACGCAGTACTCTGGGCAGACCTGGCGCCCTTGCCCTCCTGAGTTCTAGCACGGGAGGGTGGCAGAGTAGGTGGTGAGAGGGGAAAATGCTGACTTCTCACTGAGACAAACAGAACACCTGATCCACCCCCCACCCGGGCTGCACTTACATAAATCTCAGCACCATAAAATCCATCCTGATACACGACCCTGGAAGCAAACGGACAAGAAAGTGGTGGGAACGCTGGAGAGGTGGGGTAGGCCGGCTCCGGTGTCTGCTGAGGAGGGAGGGGGCACGGTGCCAGCCCGGCCCACGGGACTGGCATTTTAACAAGCGTTTGCTCCAGTGCCCTGTTTTGGTATAACAATAGAGTAACACCCTTGCTGGTCAGTTCCTCTCTCCCACAAACCCAGGGGCCCAGCGGCTCAGCCCTGCCCTCCCCCAGGTAGCTGTCGCCCGCGTCAGTGGGGGGGGGACACTGGACCCCAGGGAAGGAGACCAGAGAGGGCTTAGCTCAAGGGCCAACGACGCCCCCATCAAGGAATCCAGACCACGTGCAGGGGGCTCCCAACGTTCCCCTAAATGCCAGTGATCTCAGGGATGCTCCGGCTGTGGTGGGGGTGGGGGGAGGGACGACGGAGGCAGCTGCAGTGCTGAGTGCTGGGGTCCCCGGGGCCCCCCAGTGTGGAAAGGCTGCCCAGCCCCTCGTGCTGCTCAGGGGTTCCCTCCCGCCTCCTCCCCGGCCTTTCTCCGAGCCGCCCCCCCCATCGCGCCCCGCAGGTACTCACGCTCCGTAAGTCGGGATGGGGGGCGGGGGCGGTGCGGCCCGAAAGGTGTTATACACGGCCCGGCCCCGGCCGCGTAGGTGCGCGCCCCGGTAAGCAACGGCTGTG